AGGCCGGACTAAAAACCAGTTACACAAAGCTACTAGGAAAATATGCAAGGGTTTAGGCGCAGAGAGCTCTCTTTTCGCATGAGGATACCCGCATAGGACCAAGGCAGTCGCATGTAATAGATTGGTGAAATTGAATGGCTTGCAAAGTCCAAATGGTTTAGATAAATGCAGCAACGTGCCCTCCACACCGCCTGCGAGTGCTCGTGTCTTACCGAACGAACATTATGAAGGAATAAGTACACCAGTTCTGTAAGCGTATTGAGTTGATGACGAAGGTCGGAAACAGATCGGTGGCCAACAATTCTACGAAATACTTGCGGAATTGACAGCAAGTAGGCCTCTTGGACTCAAAATAAGTCCGTGCAAAACCTGCGCTTGCTCTGGACCATGCTCTGGATCCATGAATAATTTTATGCAGTCGTCTACAGCGAGATGCTATCTCAGTTTCCCAGCTCTACCTACCCTTTGCAATTTCCTTACGACTAGACCTCATCCAAAAGATCCACGCTCCAAGAAGCATTAAGGGATAGCTTTGGTTTACTTATGAATTTTTTAACGACATACGCAAGTGCTCGTTGCGCCGCTTCAACCGCAACCGAATGTGGATCCAGTTTTTGGTATACATAATCTGCGTTCACGCAAGGTCTCACCCGTAAGACTAAGAAAGCCCAACCTTTACCATCGCCCAGACGTTTCGGGTGACATTCTCATATGTCCAGATACTTATATGTCGACTATATTTAATTAAGTAGGCGTAGTTATGCTTATTACGACACATAAATACTCGGAAATGTTTAGCTTCCTGTAATTACTTTTAATTTGATTAGTTTTTAATGATTGTTTAGTTTATTTGTTTAATTATAGTTATAGATTTAGATAGCTTAATTTTTAATTTAATTTAATTTTTTAAGCAGCATGCAGTTGCTTGTCGGCTTATTGTACTATCATACCTGTCCAAATGCATGAGAAGCTATTGCGAGTTTTAAAAAATGGCGAAAAGCCTGTCTTTCATTGTATTATTTTAATGTCTAAATTTCGATATAGTCTACATTGGTTTGTAGCCTATTTGCAGATACTTTTGCGCATCGCTTGTTTCCCATTGGTTTTATATGCCATTTCTATAATCGTGTACAATTGTTTGGTCATTTAAATAAGTATTTGCTATTGTTTTCTGCTTTTATATGCTAAAGGCTTTACTTTATTTTTTCTTTCCTGTGATATGACTTAACCATTAAAAACCCTATTAACATCGCTCCCGTAAGACACAATGATAGGACTAGCGATATCTAAGCGCCTAGACATATGAGGATGTTGGTAACTATCGGTTATTTGAGCAGGTTGAATAGGAGCGAGGTCTAAATATCGAAAACAGCCTAACAGTAGGTTGCAATCCCCTCGGAAACAGGGATACGCATGCCGTTTTTATTGCCTCGAAGAAGAAAGCCTCTCCAAATATAAAGTGATAGGCAAAAGCAGAAAGAAGAGACTTATACACTAGCCTTGAGCGTATCGAGCCGCTGGCTGAGACGAAGAAGAGCCATGTCGGGGTCCACAAACGAGACGACATCCGTCAGGTCTGGAGGAAACCTGGAAGCCAGAAGGGTAACTAGGCGAGAATGGTTGTCTGTATCCTCTGCGTCGCAGTAGAGGAGACGATATAGTAACCAACCAATAAAGAGACGCCAAGCTGAGTCGGAGGACAGTGGAGTATCGTCAGATTGAGGTGCCAACGATGCATAGAGGCGAGAGAACCGGTCGGAATCGCCGAACAGGAGACGGAGATAGTGACCACGGAAGCTGGCGGTCAAACAACATCATAAAATTGGGTTCAGCCCTGCTCACGGATTAGGCGATCAGAAGCATAAGCTTTATGCACCTCTGACCTAGTCGCACTTCTGTTAGCGCCAGCTAACAGTCGCTTGGATACAAAATGAAGAACGGCTACGCATCAAAGTCTAACTCTGAAGCTTAGATTTCGGGTACCAACCTACACCAGATAATACAGACCGAAAATAAAAAAAAATGAGTCACAGATGAATCAGAGGCGATGGGGAGGAATCATGGCTCAGTTGCAAGACGGTCGGACCCTGGTGCCCTCAACGAATAAATTGGACGAGTTTCAGCTGCTCGTGTCTCCACCTACGGAAGGCTGAACTCAGAAGGCGACAGACACTTTACTGGATACAGAAACTCGGTGGAAAGATGCCTGCACAACATCTATATCTTTCTCTCACCATCGAAAAATATGTTCGGCAGACAATATAGAGGAGGAGCTTAGAAAGATCTGGGACCTGCTCCTTGAGAACGGATATCCTGATAGGTATATTATAAAGACAATGGTCACGAGACCAG